ATGTTATTAGCTGTTACCAGCACTCAGTCTGTGGCACGCTGATTCAGTGCCTGTTTGGCATAATGGTCCTATCAGGGCCACGTGCCCGCTTGTGCTCTGAAATGTTTCAAACTTCAATTCTGTTCTCTGGCATGTAATAAACATTTCCGCAAAGTTTCACACGAATTTGGTCTGAACATTTTGAGATAAGCCTGAGAAGGCAGCTGGCTAGCTTTAGCAAAACTACGGGGTGGTAGGGGAAACTGTAAACATCCGGGAACCACAGGTGGTTGTGGGTACTGAATTTGTTCATCTGTTCAAAAAGTACTTATGGTAGAACTTTTTCTTCATTAAAATACTGCCCGGAAAAAGTTCAAAATTGAGTATGTTATACAGTGTTTATTAGGCAGTTTTTGTTTGGGGTTTGTAGCACTCTGCTAAAGCCTGTTTTGAGATCCTAAATTTTTTAAAGTTAACATTTTTGTACAAAATTATAGTCATTTCGGGCCTTTGGAAAAACCCAATAAATGTCATTTTGGAAAATCTAACCACTCATTTTTGCTCAAGGCTTTTACTTTTAATACTACTTAAGTACATTTTATGTCAGAAATTTACTGTTGATACAAAAAGTACAAAATATATTAGATATTTTAAGACTTTTACTCAAGTAATATTCTTAGTGGAGACTAATTAGATACTCAAGTGTAATTTTGAGGTAGGGCCTATACTTTATACCAGTGGTTCTCAAACTTTTCAGCTTTTGACCCTCAAAACACCAGCAGCAGAGACTTGAGCCTGCAATGGTTGTTGGATCATAAAAGTTGCTTTCACGTCAAAAATAAATAAAAGCATATTAACAACATTCATTATGCTATTTTTGTCCATTTTAAGTACACCACCCTTACTCTTTTGTAACAACAAAGGCAAAACAAAAGTTATTTGTTCATTTTCTAATATATTTAATTCAGAAATTCTTTTCAGGACCCCACGTTGATGTTTTGAGACCCCATAGTGGGTCCCGACCCTAACTTTGGGAACCACTGCGACACTGAAACTAACTTGCAGAGTTGTAAAGTAACTAAGTACTAAGTACTTTGTTACTGTACTCAAGTAGAAATTTTGGTGATCTGTCCTTTACTTGAGTAATTATTTTTCAGTGTACTTTTTACTTTTACTCATTACATTTTTACACAATTATCAGTACTTTCTACTCACTACATTTTTTAAAAAGGTAAGAAGTAGAAAGCCATTACTCCTATTTTATTCTGAGTTATTACTTAAAAAAATACTATCCTGATAAAGTGTGTCTCCTGGATGGAGTGAATTTAATTGTAGCTGTATGTGAAATATAAATATTTACCATTCTGACACCCTGTTAGCTTGTACACAACCCATCACAGCTGCACGCTGTTAGAAAATATATTTTTTGGAGGAGTCGCCTCCCAATAAATGTCATTTTGGAAAATCTAACTGCTCACTTTTACTCAGTACTTTTACTTTTAAGTCAGTCAGTCAGTCAGTCAGTCAGTAAGTCAGTAAGTAAGTAAGTAAGTAATGGTGCGTTCACAGCGAACGCGATTTCAGCATCAGGAGCAGCAGGTTTACATGCAAAGTCTATGGTGGACGCGCTTCTAGCAACGTCGGGAAGTTCTGCGGCGCCTCAAGCGCGATTTGAACGATTTGAACGATCTGAGCGTTCGACGC